GGGGGCCCATGCCCGGAGGGCCTCCCATCCCCATCGGCGCGCCTCCCATGCCAGGTGGCGCTCCCATGCCAGGCGGCGCTCCCATGCCAGGCGGCGCTCCCATGCCAGGCGGCGCTCCCATGCCGGGCGCTCCGCTGAAGCCGCCGCCCATGGCCGCTCCCATCCCCGTCGACGGCGGCGGGACGGCGCCGGGGAGCGGGAAGCCAGCCTGCGAAGGGGGGAGGCGAGGGGCCGCGGCGCGGTGGGGAGGGCGCGTGCCACGACTGCGCCCGCTCAGCCTCCGAGCCAGGCCCACGCTCGACGGGCGTGCTGGGGGATATCCCCACCCCCACCCCATCCCCACCCCCACCCCCCCCACCATCCCCACCACCGCAGGCCAAAGCGAAAGGCGATGCAAGCCAGCGTGCGGCGCACACCAGTGGCGTGCCTCCGCTGGGCTTCCAAGCGGCCTGCCGCGGCGGTCTGCCCCGCGGCTGGGGTCTGTGTGACCTCTGTGCGGGGCTGACCCTCGCGGCGCGGCTGCCGCATCTACAGCAGCTCACCGCGGCCGCACTCGGCTTGCCGCCGGCGAGCTGCGCGAGCGACTTTTTGGGCGCGTTGGCCGCGGGCGCCGGCGCGCGCGCCTCCTTGCCCGAGATGTTGAGGTTGTCGAGGTTAATGATATTGGACTGCTTGATGGTCGCCCACTCGTCGGGCGCCGCCGCCGCCGCCGGCTCGGCGGCGGAGCCGAAGCCGTCGTCCTGCGGGGCGTGGCGGGTCGTGTCATGTCACCGATCACATGCTGTCTTGCACGGGGGCGGTCGGGCATCCGCGTCAGCAACGCGCGGCGCGGGCAGCTCCGCCCCCCTCGGCCGGCCGCGGGGGGGAGAGGCTCTCTCTCCTGCGGGAAGAAGCTGCCGCCGCTCGCCGCCGCAGATGCGGTGGTGGGCGAGGCGAGGTCGACGCCGCCGAGGAGCTGGAGGTCGTTCGCTCCGGCGCCGAAGCCTACGTGTACCATACCTCCAGGGTCTCGAATCCAGCGTGGGTTCAGTCCCATGGGTGATGCGGTAGCGAGCGTCCGCTCCCGCTCCTACTCTGTGGAGCCGCGAACACATGAGGGCGGGAGGACGGTCTTTTGCATTCGGAGCAGCGCGTGAGTACGCCGGGCTACGAGGACAGTGGATACAGCGCAAGACGGCGGAGGAGGGCGGAAGACGGCTGCATACGTGTCCTCTCGAGCGCTAGCTGGGAGACAAGAGCACGTCTTCCCCTTCTAGGGCGCGGAGGCCCGAGGGGGCGCCGCCCGCGCCGGGCATGACGCTGGTCGGGAGGGCCAGCGAGAGGAGGCCGTCGTCTGCTGGCGTCTCGAGGAGAGAGGCCTGTGCGGGGCGGGGCGGGGCGAGGCGGCGGGGGATGGGGTGGGCGGGGCGGGGCGGTGATCTCGGGTGATCTCGGGTGATCTCGGTCCACCTGCCCATTGGATGGCATGCTCGGCGGCGCGGCGGCCGGCGGCGGCGCGCCGCTCGAGAATGGGTCGTTTGGCGGCGCGCCGAACGGGTCGGCGCCGGAGGGCGCACCGAACGGGTCGTTTGGTGCCGGCGCTCCAAACCCGCCGCCGCTCGAGGAGGCGGCGAAAGGGTCGTTCATCGCGGGCGCGCCAAAGGGGTCGGCGCCGCCGCCTCCCCCGAGGTCGCCGAGCAAGTCCGGCCCGGCGGCGGTCGCGCCCGGCCGCGCGCCGCCGCCGCCCACGCTGGCCGGCATGCCGAGCGCCGGCACGGCGGTGGACGACTCCGCCTTCGGCTTGATGACGACGGCGGGGAACTTGCCTGCGGGATTCCCAGAGTCTCCGGTGGGGGAGCTCGGCCGCACCGCGCGCAAACACGGCGGCTACGCAGACAGCGGAGTCGCGCGGTGTGGGGCGGAGTGCGGCGGAGTGGGGCGGAATGCACGTGCATGTGCATGTACGTGCCCCTCTCGAGCGCCAGTTGGACTGACATGAACGCGTCTTCCGCTTCTACTCTCGAGGGCTCACCGCCGCCGCCGCCGCGCGGCGAGCGGAAAGCGTCGCCGAAAGACGGCTCGCGCTGCTGCTGCTCCTATGGGACACGTCTCGGACATGTCGTGGACGTGTCCTGGACATGTCCCGGCAGCTCGCGCTGCTGCTGCTCCCTCTCGAAGCCGAAGCGCACGTCGTAAAACTCCTTGTCGTCCTGCGGCTTGGTCTGCGCGAAGCCGGGAGGCGGGGCGCGATGTCCCTGCTCGCGCTGCTCCTAGGGTTCGGGAACTGTGGGGGTAGGGGAGGGTTGCGCGCTAGAGGGCGCACGCGGCAAAGGTCGTCAGAAGGGGCCGTCTGGTGCCACAGAGTCCGAGCTGCCTCGGCCAAGTCGTTGCGGAGGAAAGATCTCGGCTGCCTCTCGGCTGCCTCTGGGCTGCCTCTCGGCGGTCTCTCGGCTGTACCTCGGTCGGATCGTCGCGGAGGAACCGGAGGAAGCGGTCGGCGCGCTCGCGCACGGGCATGCCGACATCGATGTGCTGGTCGTTGATGAGGCGGAAGTTGGTCAGCGCCGAGATGAGGTGGAGGTTGTTTTGGATCTGCGCGAGGACCATCTCGGCGTTCCCCTCGCGCAGCAGGAACTCGAGCAGGATGAGGCACTTTAGCGGGTGGCGCTCGTTCTTCTCCTCCCGGATCCGCTTCCTACGCCCCGGGACACGCCAGCCCTCGGCGCGCGAGCACAGGGGTGCGGCGGGACACGGGCTCCGCTTCTACGGCCCTCACCAAAGGATGGACATGATCGAGGTGAACTCGACGGTGAAGGTCCCCTTTGCAATCTCCCGCATCAGAGAGACCTACAGACGAACTCTCCCGCAATCTTCCACAATCTACCGCACCAGAGAGACCCACGGGCTCGCCGCTGTGTGTTCTAGCCCTTGGCGCAGCCTCCTCCTTGAACGAGAGAGATTGGTGAGGCGACGGCGAGGCGGAGGCGAGGCGAGGCGAGGCGAGCTGGGGAGACCTCCCCGCCTTCTGGTCGCCCCCCCGCCCCCGCCCCGCCCTGCCCTGCCTTGCCCCGCCCTGCCTCCTCTGCCTGCCCTCCTCTGCCCTCCCTCCCTGCCCCCCCCTGCCCCCCCCCCTCTGCCCACCCGGCTCCTCTGGCCTCCGCCCTCCCTCCCGCCCTCTCCCCCAGTGCGCGTGGGGCAGATGGTGGTGGTGGTGGTG